ATTTCCACGATAGTGACTAGAATACCAATTCTAGACTTATGATTTGCTATGGATATCGATAACAATTCTTCGGCATATCTGTTTTTTTCCTCAACCATCATTGGCCAAAGAGAGTTAGTAAAAAAGATATTAAAATATTCGATCGGTTTGGCAGTATTAGGTAAAAGGTATTGCGGTCCTGATTTTTTTTTGAATTGGAGTGAATTGTCTTGGACATTATATTCATTTTCCATAATCCTAATATATTTCGAAATGTGACCAGTATTATGAATATTGGTGTCAGAATCAGAATCGTCGTTATTAATTCTTCTTCTTTTAAAAATAACATTGCTTTCATTGCTGTTGTAATTCGAATCCTCTATTATGCTACTCGTTTTACGTTTAGAAGACATTAAATTGCCGAAGGGCATAGAATAAAAATAAAATAAAATTATGCTGTAGATTACATAAAAAATAAGTGAAAATATTACTGCACATACCTTTTATATATGCAATAAAATATTAAAATAATATTTTTGTGATTTAAACACACTGATGTCACTACTTATGCTCAGAAGAATTTCAGAACAATACTAAACTGAAAGAATTAAAGCTTATCGCATATAAATTGTAAGCGATCTTAGACTAGACGGCGTAAACAGTCAGGCGACAGGCAGTGTCTCCGAATGTTTACGCCTAAAACACTTGAACTCATCGAAGGTGTGACGATCGGCCGAGGGGTGTCAAATTCTTCTCCAGCCGAAGGACAGTCAGTAAAATAAAAACCTTTGATGAAGAAAGTCTTCTGGACCACTAGCCCTATCTCCTTATCCTTCCGCTACAAAATAAAAAACAGCGCAATCGCGCTCGTTGGCATTTTGGAACACGGAATATGACAAGCGCTGTCGCGTCGCTTGGCAATTTTCGATTGGAAAACAATAAAGACCCGTGGCACTCAAACGGTTAAATGCGATTTTCGTTCATAGCGACGCTGACAGTGACATAAAACAGTCAGTCCACCACTTAACTTGGGACGTGAGGGTCTTAATGCCGCAAAAGCGAGCTTATGTCTATGTTTCTGGACCATAGCATGCGTTCACGTGGGACACATATGCGTCCCTCGGCCCTATTGGATGTTTTCGTCGAAAGCATATATGCATTCCTCGGCCAAACTGATGGTTTCCACAAAACGCACATATAAGGCGGCTCGTCCGCAAAAGGTTAATAATGAATTACATTAAATTGGAATTACAATTCCTTTGTCATTTTCCTTTCTGTCTATTCTTCTTTTTGAGAATTGCATGAAATACATTTAGCAGTATAAGCTATTATAGTAACACAACTCGATACAGTTATAGTTGCGTCGTATTTTCGCGAGTGATTCGTTTGATTCTGAATCAATCAATTACCCGCGATTTGGCAGGTCATCGGTTCTCCCGAAATAGATGAAAGAAAGAAGGCTGTTGTCACCCACATTTTTATTCTTTTGAGCTGTTCGAATAAAATCTGTGAAATTTCGGTTCTTTTATATTGTTTTTCCCTTTCGTTAAAATTAAACTTTCGATTTTAGTTTCGCCTTACCGCGTTCGTTTATCGATCTCTCGACCTCTCCGCGCAGACTCGATATTCTTTAGACGAAAAAGGAGGAAGATACATATAATTGAAGGCTGAAAGCGTATTACAGTTAAAATATGATAATTTCAATGATTATCTCGTGCACGCAATTACGCCTTCTCTCGCTTAGATAATGACAATATAACGAGCAGGCTCCCACTCGCGCTAATTAGTATCGCGAATCTCCATCTTCTCCTTGTAAAGCAAACCTTTGTAGCCAAAACCTTTTAACCTTTCTTTTTACGAATATTTCATTTTTGTGGTGGATAATGAAAACTTGACGATGTCACTTACTAAACTATTTATTAATAATATTAATTTTTACAAAGATTCTCACACAGTTCTAGATTATTATTCATCGCACATTCTCACGCGGGAAAGGAACATTCACCCATTGTTTGGGTGAATTGTTCATTGGTCGGACACACACTCACTTGTTCTTCGCGCTTCTTTTGTTTTCCAGTTTTACCATCCATCCACATTCATTCGTCACCACGCATCACCTCTCATTCATACCAACTTAAAGGCTAAACATCCCCACAATCACCCCTTTAGCTTTTAATGCGTTGCAATGTTCATAAATGGTTTTATGTTTCCCAATAATACAGGCCTACTTAATGCTTTAGTTTAACAGTCTGCCATCATTTTTTCTTTTGGAACGTGTTTTACACTTATTTTATGTTCCGTTACACTCTGTCTTATAAAATTACACTTACGATTTAACAGTTTTGATTTATTCTTAAAATTACCTCCATTAGCCAACCTCACCGCATTCAAATTATCACACAAAAGCTCTTTATTTACATCTTTTAACACTAGAATCTCTGTCAGTATATTACTCATCCAAATTGTTTCTTTCACTCCT